CCCTACATAAATGTGAAATCGCGATTCCATTAAGCCATTAGGAATACCACCACAGACTCCGCAAAGCTTGGATTCCACCGCGCAAGTCGATACAGTACAAACACACAACACATTCTCCTCCATGCCTCTGCCAAGTAGTCTTTGCTGATTCTTAAGTGCCCCTTTAAAGAATTTATGCCTTCTTTCCTAGTATAATTAAAAATTATAACAAATATTAAAATAAGTTTCAAAGAGGGTCTACAAATTTTAAAAAGGTAGCCAAGAGGTATGCCTTGCATTGTTCTAGTGGAAACTGGATACATGCGTAACTAGAAGGCAAATATCACCTTATAGTACTAAAATGAAAAGTTAAAATAATCAACAAACTTATCTGACAGCCCTAGTTTTTACTTTATGTTTAACTGAACAATGGCATAATAAATGCATTCTTTAACTTAGAAATATTATGTCAGATCACACAGGGTCTCACTATAGCACTCAGACTGAAATCTCCAAGGTACAACATTCTAATTAATGAAACTGTTAAATATCTTCTGATTCCTTTTAAACCAGAAACCAGACATCTTGAGAAGCATGCAGAATGATTTGGGGGACACACTACCTTTTAAGTAGAAATGATAAAATCTGTTTAACACGGTAAAAATCGCTACATCCAGGAAAATTTAAACCTGCAACTCTGAAAGAAAATGCTTTGTGTAATCTACTTGGAAATGACTTTGAAAATATAATTGCTATATTGCTGAAAGCATAGAAATATAGAATTTCTACTATTCCAATTTTATCTATTTTCCAGATAAAACAGAAGGATGAAACAGAAATTGATCACAGATATATAATGCAGCTATCTTAAATACATTTGCATTATAAAATAATACCTTCACCTGCTCTACTCCAGAGTCACTTTCTTACATTAATCCAGTACAACTAACACTCTTCCCTGACATGTCCTAAACTATGGTACAAAGGCTTCAGCTACTCTGAGCCCATGCCAGATTTCTGTCATCTGCACTTGGATTTACTAATCACATTCAAGAGACACTTCCACCCAGAAGCATGCTTGCTTCCAGTCAGGTACTACATAACTAACTCCAAGTATTCAGTATTTTGAATTTTGTTAGCGCTCCATTTCTGAAGCTGCTCTGAAGTACACAGAAATATATACAAAACACTCCAACAATTAGGAGAGCACTTCAGTTTCACAGCCTTGTTCTTGGGCTCACACCACCCAGAGTGATTGGAGCACTTGATTTTAAGTGCTCCAAATTGGAGGAGATTCAAATTATCACCTGCTCCCGAGACACATTAAACCAGTGTAAGCCTGCGCCTGTAACAAAACACGGATGGAAACAACAAGAGACTCATAGCTAAAGATTAAAAACCCTTCGAAGTTTTAGGGAAGTTGAGTGTGAACCACTTACGTGTGCATTTATAAGTGAACGCCAAGCTGCAGCATACCGAAATCGCTATTAAAACTGGGGCACTAACAGCGCATGAAGTAGGTTACGAAGCCGGACGAGTCTCCCTTTGGCATTTGGAGACTCATAGCTAAAGATTAAAAACCCTTCGAAGTTTTAGGGAAGTTGAGTGTGAACCACTTACGTGTGCATTTATAAGTGAACGCCAAGCTGCAGCATACCGAAATCGCTATTAAAACTGGGGCACTAACAGCGCATGAAGTAGGTTACGAAGCCGGACGAGTCTCCCTTTGGCATTTTCTGCCCGCGGGACCGCTCTCCCCGCCGCCCCGGCGGGTCCGCCCGAGGCG